TCCCTCACACCCCCACCTATCCTTGCTCTGAGGAAATTTCCTCCCAGCTTTCCCCTTAGTATTCTTAACTCCATGGCAGTAAGGATATACAGAAGCTGGGGGACAATGCCTCAGCATTGCTATCTTCACTCCTCCCCACGCCACCGGCTTCTTGTTTAGATTAATCAAATGTAAACCAAGGGAAGCAGGTATATTTTAGCATCTGTACATCCCAAGCAAGATTTGAATATATGTAAACTGAAATTTTCTGTTAGTCTGACATTCAGAGTTCCGCATTTTATTTGTCAACCTAGCCTTGACCTCTCCCTCCTGCCCTGGGGAGGTCCCTAACTCAAAGGTACAGCCCCAAATCCTGTCCTAAACATCAATGAATAAGGACGAAGAACCAATGTTTGGTAATAGAGGCCTGTAGTTTCAGCACTTGGAAGGCTAGAAGTAGGATTGCTGAGTCAGGTCAGCCTGGTCTACACAATGAGTTCAAGGCTAGCCTTGGCTACATAGCTAGACTCTGTCTCAAAACAATAGCAAAACAAACCCAAAGAACAACGGCTTCATCTCCATGCAATGTGCAGACTGTGGTAACTGACAGCTTTGAGAAGCTCTGGGGCAGTTCAGCAATCAATAATTGTTGCCACCACTGAGAGAGATAGACCATATTGGTACCTCAATGGAGAGGAGGGGCCGAGAATTGTTACCAGTCCTGTGGTATTCTCCTGGGGCCTCATGATGTCCTTACAGTGCTCTGCCCACCCCACCTCTTCTCTAAGCAGCCATCATAGCATCAGATTTTCAGGAGGGAAGAGTAGGGGCAGTTACACTGGTCACAGAGAGGGTTATTTAAGAAACACCCAGGCTTTCCTTCTGCCCAGGTAGGTACTTCCTTCTATCCATGTTCCAGACTCCAAGAAGGAGTGCCCCTTGCAGCATGCACCAAAGCCAAGGAGTGACCTCTTCAGACAGCAGACTGTCAACAGATGAGTTTCAAGCTGAGAACACATAGGCCTAGAAGGTGCAGGTGGGACCCCTGTTAATGACTCGGGGTACTTCTGTACTGCACAATTACCCCCCCCCCCCGCTTCCTGAATGAGTCCAGATGTGGCATGGTGGTGCTCAGAGGAAAAGGGTAAGAGCTTACTTGGTGGGACACCAGTGACCTGTCCCAACAAGCACTGCAGATGGACTTCGAGGCATTGGAGGTGACTGGTACAGAGTCTGACCCTGACCACCCAGGCAGAGTTGATGGACCTAGACCTCAGGTAGGAAGAGTTGAGGAGCACTTCATTGTCTCCACATATTCAAAAGGGGCTAGACTCCTCCAGAGGTCCAGAGGTCAGACATAGGCCTGGTGGGTGGAAGTAGCTGGGAACATCTTCACAGAGGCAGAGGTAGAATTCTAGCTTCATATTCTGTGTGACTTGGTATAAGTCACTTGTCTTCTCTAACCGCAGTGCCCTGATGGATTATATCTGAGCATCTTTCTAACACAGAATAGAGGCGAGAGGTCCTTTGGTTAAAGCTATAAGGAACAAGCTGAGGTCAGAGGTCAAGCCTCACTCTTCTGTGTGTTTCCTTAGTCCTCTGTCTTGTTCATAACGTAGTGTGTTTTGTTTGGGGTGTGGAGAAGAAGGGAGTACATCTACTTAAAGCTCAGTCTCTAAGTCCCTACCTCCAGGTTGTCTCCACAGCATTGATCCTTCTTGCCCATTTTGTCACACAAGCTCCTCCCCCACACCTAGAGCAGGCCACATGTCTGTCAAGATCTTATCCATTGCCTCCAATAGAGCCCAACCTATCAGCTATGGTTGCCCCACTGCCATCACCTCAACCTCACTCTCTCCTACATGTACCATATCTTTCTACAAGGTCCTTCTCCTGGCTTGTGAATCCATGTCTCTCACTTGAATCCCAACTTATACTACTCACTGCTGAAGACATGACTTCTTTGTACAATGAGGATGTCTTTGTACAGTTGTCTAACCCCATAACTCCCTATACTCCTCCATGCTCAAGCCCTATCACTCACTTTCATTACCCTCCTTCCTGGTCCTAGGGGGAATTCTGTTACGTGTGCTACATAGTATCTGTCTCTTCTACATCTCTTATTTAGTCATAGGCCAGTTCAGCTTTGTGCCTTCAGCTCCCCATAGACACATGGGGTACTCAAGACTTCCTTCTTCCTCCCTGACTTGGCTTTTAGGTCCCCACTCAGGGTGCCATCTCCGCCTGCCTATTTCAGGACAGTTTTCTCTGCATTCTCTCTCACGGTACCCTGGTGATCTGCTTCATGGAAAAACACCATCTGTAATTTCAACATAAACTTGTCAACATCTGTGTTTTTGTTGCCACCTCTGAAATACAAGCTCCAGGGGTTTTGCTTTGTTCAATAGCATTCCCACTGCCAGGACTGGACTTTGTACACAAATGCTCATTGAGTGAATGAGTGACTGTTGGTGCCTAGAGAATATCTATTGTTTTTGCTAAGTCTGTGCACATGCCATCTCCCTTTCTCCTTTGAGGGACCACTCTTCCTGTTCCATCTGTGTGGCTGGTTAGATCTGTGCTGTTCCCAGGCACAGGGCCAGGGCCAGAATCACATCAGCCTATCAGAGCATTTGTTCTCCCTCTGGGAAGGCACATGGTGCCTGGCTGGTTCTGGGAGCTCCAAACCTGAGGTGCTCGCTCCCCCAAGGTGGTAGGATACAAGCCTGTTGTTTCCAGTAGGGAAGTCCTTGGCAATGATACTCACTTAGAGGGAAGCTAGTAAAGAGCTGGATAGAGGCAAGTTCTGAACGACAGCCTTAAACACTTGGATTCAGATGTGTCTGAAGCCCCCACCACACTTATCAGATACACTAGCCTGTAAATGACATGGTTCATGTAAGCCAACTTGAATCATGAATCCTATATTTGGAAAAGTACTCATTCACACAGATAGGACACATCTTCTGTCATCGGTTATTCCTCATCTAGTATCTAAAAGAGTTTGGCATACACTAGGTATTCAATAAATGATTGGGGGGATGATATCCAGCACTGTAAAGAAGTGTACTGTCTCTGGAGCTCTTATATATTTGCCTGCTTTCTTTCCTGTTAGTGTTTAGTCTGTAAGCAAGGAATATGGGTGGAGTCTCAGAGGAGGACATTTATCTGCTATACTTCTTTTTCTTTTCTCCCCCCTCTGTTTTATTCTTTCTCTTCTTCCTCCTTCTCTTTTTCTCCCTCCTTCTCTTCCTGCATCTCCTCCTCCTCTAACTGCCTGTCAAAGAGGCCATTGCCTCTCATCTGCACCCTTCAGAGATCCCCTGCATCCTTGTATTCTTTCACTTCATCATCACAATGTTTTGCAATTTATCATCCCAAACTGGTTCATGTCCTAAATCTCAAAATAACCTGGGCAAGAGTGCATGCTAGTGACTGAACAACAACACTGGATCTCCAGGCTTGCAGTTATCCTTCCTACCACACTGCTTATACAGACTGTTCGGTTTTGCATTACACCCCAGAGGGGGAAAGGATGTAAGGTTCCTAGAAAGTTCCCCCATTCCCATCTCACTCCAAGGACTTTAGGAAGCAAGATACCATGTTCTGGAAACAGCTACTGGGCTTTTATGGCTGTCTCCTTTGGGTCCTCCTGGTGTTGGTGGGACATGGGTCAACTGTTCAAAGGAAAACCTTTTTATCATCAAAGATTTCAAATATAAATGAAAAAGATTTCAAATATAAATGAAGGTAGCAAAAAGAATCAAACGCTCCACATGCTCATAAATTAACCTCAATAAATTCTTGGCCATCCCTGTTCCATCTCTCTATCCACCCTCTCCTTCCTTCCTGCCTTCCCACCCCCAATTACATTCAAGTGTATCATTTTATATGGAAATGTGTTAATATGCATTTCTAGATGATAAGGTTCTTTTAAAGATATATCCCCTCTGCTGCTGGCATCTCACTGGAGCAGGTCATTCCGGTAATGACTTCCAAGGAGCCAGGCTCTTGGTCTAACACCCTTGAGAACGCTCATCTGGCACTCATTTGAACTTGATTGACAAGATGACTCCCTTGACCAATGAGCCAATCAAAAATATAGTACAAGGTAGAGGCACCTGCCCACTGGGGCTTTCTTGCTCTTGCTGCTTGTTGGGGATGTCTCAACATTCATGATATGGTGCAAAGGAGCACAGGCTGGCTTCCTTGGGAATAAGAGTTCAGAGATAGAAAAGCATAAGTGGGTAGATGAGTATAAAGAGGGATAGATGACAGACATGTAGAAAGATGACTAGAGATAACTGGTAGATAGGTAGGCGATAAATAGATAGATGATAGAGATAAAGAATGATAATAAATGATAGCTAGATAGATGATAGAAGTGATAACTAATAAACAAAATATACGTGATAGATGATAGGTAGAGAAATGCTTCAGTAGTTAAGAGCTTTTGTAGGGGAAAATCTAGTCTAGAGGTACTGCTGACCACACCCACTTGGGGCTGAGTGGTCAGAGTGACAAAGGAAAGGTTTAAGTAGTTTAGAGGCACGCACGCAGGACCCTTCTCTCCCTCCCTGCCACCTGGCTGAGTGGACTTGCATGAGTACTATTACTTAATAAACTACCTGTTATCAATCCAGATCTGACTCCACATTGTGTTCAGCATTAAGCTTTTGTAGCTATTGCAGAGGAGTGTAGTTCAGATCCTAGTACCCCGGTCAGGTGGCTCAAAATCACATGGAACCTCAGCTCCAGGGGATCCAACACCCTCTTCTGGCCTCTGCATGCATGTGCACGCGCGCGCGCACACACACACACACACACCAATAAATAGTAAAAATAAATCTTTAGAGGATAGAGCCACCAGTGTCGAGGGTCCATATCTATGCAAAATCATACCACACTATGTAGGACAGACATGAGACAGCCCAACTGATGTCTGCTTATGTATGTGACTCGCAGGATCATGAAAGAACAACACAGTTGTTCATTTAAGCTAGTAAGTTTGGGGTGGCTTTTAATGCAGCAGTAGTGAACAGTAATTCCCCATTTTCATCATATAGCTAACCCAAACTGAAATTCCCTTGATGCTCTCATAGACTTTTCCTTCTTCATTTTTGCTCGTCACTACCAGAAATCACATGGTCTTTTCAGGCTGGCTGACTAGCATATCTCTTATGTCTTCTTTAATCTAATAGTTCCTCAGGCTTGTAGAATTCCCCTATAATCTGATCTTGCCAAATTCTGTGGTCCTCTATAATGTGTTCTTGTATCTCCAAATTTCCTGTAAAGAAGAGGAAAGATCAGTCTGAAAGTATAATCAGATTAGGGCTTGCTTTACTATCCCCAAGGCCACTACATGGTAGCCTATGTTCTAACTTAAGGGTTATTGATGAGTGTTTGTCTTTCCTTGAGCTAGTAATTCATTACCTGTCATGAAATGATACAGCAAACACCCACCCTCTAGTTTACTATTGATTACTTATTCATCACCAATATCATTGTCACCATCATCGCCAACATCACCATCTCCATCACCACCATCATCATTATTTTTGATTTATTAGTAATGTAGTACATCTGCACAATTTTTTTCTCTTGAAGTATTATCTCTGGGCCTTGTGGCACAGGCCAATTATAATCCCAGCTATTTGGGAGGCAGGCAGGAGGATTTGAAGTTTAAGGCTTGCCTGGGCAACCCAGCAAGATCCTATCATAAAAATAAAGAGCTACAGAGGGTTGGGAATAGAACTCATTGGTAGAGCAGTTGCCTAGCATGCATGAGGTAGTAGGTTCAATTTCTAGCAACTCTTCCCAAAAGCAAGCATTGGGATACCCAGAGACAACAGGATAAATGTTTGGTTCACTCTATTTTTTGCCAGTTCTCAAAATAATGTGTTGGTTTTTAGCTCCTGTAGAGACCACAATGATTTATTTTAGTCTTTGCATATTGTGGTGAACTTGTAAATTTAAACATTTTGGTGTGTTTTTAGCATGGCACAGTTACTGTCTTCACTGATGATGAAACAATACTGTATCTGACCAATGGGAACCTGTTCAATCTTGTCATCTTGATACCAACCCAGAAATTTTGTATCATTTGCAGTAGTTTTCTTGTTTCTGGCTTAGAGATGCTCTGGCTTTGTCTTGTACTTTGTCATTTCCTAATTTTAGAATGAGCTTTTTTTTTTTCTGACTTAGTCTGGGGCTTCCAGTTTATAATCCCAGCTGCTTGAGAGGCTGAGGCAGGAGGATCACAAGTTACAGGCATGTCTGGGTGGGCTATAGTGAGTTTAGGGCCACTGCTCAATTTAGTGAGATACGCTCTTAAACAGTAAAAAGAGGGCTGGGGGTGTGGTTTAGCCATAGAAAGCCTACTTAACTTGCACAGGGCCCTAGGTTAATCCCTAGTACACACACACACACACACACACACACACACACACACACACACACACACAGAGAGAGAGAGAGAGAGGGGGGGGTGGGAAGAAGGAAGGATGTTTGGGGAAAGAAGGAAGGAAGGAAGGAAGGAAGGAAGGAAGGAAGGAAGGAAGGTTGTAAGAATAAGAAAGAGAAGGCAAGTGACTTTTCTCCAAGGATGCTTGGCCTCCCTTTGCTCTGTCACACACGATGTCTCTCACGAGGCTAACTGTGAGAGAGAAAGGTCTGATGGACTTTCTATTAGGACAGAAAGCCTGAAATTTTCCAGAAGGTCAAATTGCTTGGCATAGATTTGTGTTTTTCCCTGAGATAAATTTGGAAAATTTGACCACGTAAGAGCACACCATTACCGCATCTGCAAAAAGCAGTGGCCACAAGAGGTGACACCTCCTCATTAATCACTGTTTTCTGTGACAATTGAGATAGAATCTCACTTTTGTTAATAAAAGGGTCAAAGATATTATGATTTCTGAGCTGGTTGAGTCTGCATCTGGGAGATCCAAACATGCACTGGTCCTCAGAGTGGGTGTGGTGTCCAAGTCCCTGCTGAGCCCTGGAACTAATCTGTCCACCTGGAAAAGTTGAACAGAGGTGCTGGGGGACCACATGCGTGCCACAATCTGGCTTGTGAATGGTGGAAGGGTATGTGAAGAATGGCGCTAACATAACTTTCCCCTACACGTTTTGAGGATAAAATGAAATGGTTACACAGAGCAACAACTGACTCCACTTGGACCATTTTCTTTGGCTTTTCCCATCTATGCTGGGAACTCTGCAGTATTCAGACCACTCCCACTTAGCTTTTTCTCCAAATTAACACATGTGTCGAGAAGCTCTGTTGAGCTGGGGAGATGGCTCAGTAGATAAAGTGCCATGGTGCATGAGGACAATAACTCAGATCCCCAGAACACAGGTAATGCTGAGTGGGTACGGCAACCCACCCGTGCTTCCAGCCTCAGAGAGCAGAGGCAGGGGGTCGCCAGAGCAAGCTAGCTTCATAGGTGAGATCTGGGTCTAAATGAGAGAGTCTGCCTCAATAAATAGGTAGAAGTGTCCCTGGATGATTCATGACATTAATCTTGTGGCTCAACATGTATGCATACACACATGAACACACATTCAAACTCACACATGTGCCCACACAATGTGAACATGCATATATATTTGAAGAAAATGGAAAGAAAACTGTCAGTTCTCACAGGCTCTCTCTCTCTCTCTCTCTCTCTCTCTCTCTCTCTCTCGTGTGTGTGTGTGTGTGTGTGTGTGTGTGTGTGTGTGTGGTGTGTGTATGTGTGTGTGAGTGTGTATGTATGAAACTTTTGTCCACGATTTCTAGGTTTTTTAGGTGAACGTGATATTTGCTCCTGTTGTAGACCAAGGCTGAGGTGCCCCCTGACCTCACTCCCTGGATGATGATGCTGGCCACAGTGCTGGGTACCGCTGAGCACTTTTTGTGTGCAAGGCTGTTCTATGCAGACATGTGTGTCTCTGTTCATTCAAGACACAGCCAGCTCTCTTCCAGCTCATACAGTGACTTGCTAACAAGGCTTCCCAGCATGGCTTTTGCCTCCTGTTGTGGTTGGCTCTTTACAAAAATCCAGAGGAAGCCTTTGAAAACATGAGCTGGATCATGTCACCACTCAGAGACCTTCAGTGACTTTCTATAATCCACTGTTCTGCAAGCACCTCACTGGATGACACCTCCACATAAGTCACCCCAACTTCTGGGTGAGCCCATCCTCAGCTCTGGCAGTCTCTCTCTCAGAGTCTTTGCTTATGCTGTGCCCTCTGCCTGGGTGGCTCCCTTCCCACCCACTTCTTCCCGTTTCTACTCAGATGTCACTGCCCTGACAAGGCCTCCCTCATCGTTCTCCATGAAGCAGCTCCCTCCATCCCCTCAGTTTCTAGACCCTTTCTCCTCAGCATTTCCATCAACTGCTACTGTGCACAGTTTCTTCATTGTCATCTGCCTCTGCTTCCTTCAATGTGAATGCTTGACAATGCCACTTTTATCTGTATCCCGAGCTCACAAGACAGTGACAGGCACATAATGATCAGCACGTATGAGCTGAGTGCATGGTGGCTCTTAATTTCACAGCCTCAATGATGCCATTTTCTCTGGTTTTGCAGATGAAGAAGTCAAGGCTCCCACCCTCCATATCTGACACTGTCCAGGATCCCACAGTCAATAAGTGGGAAGGTGAATGCACCCATCAAACTACCAGCGGCCACCAAAGCTGTGAGCCATGGGCTAGGCCCATACTCTTCTCCTCTCTGTCATGACATCTTCAAAGGGATTCCTTCTTTCTCTGCATTATCTGTAACTGCCTGGAACCTGCCAGACAGGTATTTACCTCTGCCTCTCCACCTTGGAATTCTAGCTACACAAAGCAAAAGGCTGTCAGGGGCCCTATAATTTCCACCGCCAGCAGCCCACTCTGTACGCACACAATCCTATGAGTGGTGCCTTGTTAGGGTGTCCCAGCATGGGTGTGCTCCCGTCCTCCATTGCCATAGACACTTCTAAACAGGGTACTAGGTGGAAGATGAAAAACATTGAGAAGTCACCCCGGAGACATTTCACATCTCCATCCCAGAGACCTTGGGGGTGAGAGGTCAGAGGAAGAGTGGGCATGAGAGGAACAGCCTCACCAGGCCACCATTTTGATTTGACGATGTCGTTTTAGCAGCGGTACATCAAAATGGCTATGCTGACATTTCCCCTCCCATCCCACTTTTTATTTTCATGATAAGATCCCTACTTCTAGGTTTATATTCAGAAACAACATTGACTTGTCAGGTATAGTTTCGTGGATCATGGCAAATGCGGTGCTCCACCGCTACCTTCACAATCATGGAACACAGTATGTCCGTCACTCCCTACAGCATTCTTTGACCCATCCCTTTCCAGCTGCCTCCCGCTGGCAATCCCCAGCAGCATATCCCTTCCTTTTGTATCATCCCTTTGTCCGGAATGTCTCAGAGGCGGAAGCATATGATATTAGCTTTTTGGGTCAGGCTCTGACCACTTAGTGAAATGCCCTTGAGATTCATCTCAGATCTCATTGCACATTGCAGGAGGGCCTCGCTTTCTACAGCTGAGGGGTTTCCCATTATATAGGTGAACTACGGTTTTCCCATGCTGTCATGGAAGGGGCACTGAGATGGTTACCACATGTATATTTAAAATAATGGATAGAATAGCAGCAAACGTTCTTGGGGAGACTTTGAAATGAACACAAATTTTTACATTTCTTGGGTGATTAGTTAAGTGTAGAGCAACTGGGTCACATGATACGTGCTTTAACGCTAGAAGAAACTGTCACATTTGCTTTGTGGAGCAGAGACCCTGTTGCTGCCATCCGTCCTCACCAGCACTTTATATGTTATTTAGAAAATTCTATTCTAAGTGTGTCATAGCAGCTGGCGAGGGATGGGGAGTACCTCTTTGCTTACCCATCTCCCCTGTATCAAAGTTCCAGTTGTGCCCAAATGTGGCCTCTTCTATTTGTGTTCGGCTGTTGGGTATCCCAAGCATTCTGCTGCCTTGTCTAGGGATCCAAGTGATGAGCACGGATTTAACATTGCTCTTGTAAGGACCTTGGGCATGTGTTGGAAACATGGGGGTGAACGGGTGTTATCTAGAACTAAGAACCACAGCAGCTGTATTCTAATTTTAGTAACTGAGAAAATTCTTCCGGGCTGTCTAGTCCAATCCCATTTTCTGCTTCTTAATAGGGAGACAACTGAAGCCCAGAGAGGAAGTACTTTGCTCACATCTTACAACTAGAAGGCTGGTGAATTAGATCAAGAACTTCTACCCACTAATTTGATTTTTCC